GAACCGCTCCTCTCGTGGTAACAGCGTTTGTTTTATTTAACTGCAGTAACAAGTCCCAGTGAAATCCCTGTGGGTGCGTAGTTTGGTAAAATGGAAATGATCCAAAGAATTTCAAGCATTTGCTTTATACCTACTGAAGATTTCCTGTTAGCACTGCTTCCCGTTGGTTCCGGTGGGTTTGGGGATTTTTTTTTTTTTAAGTAACTATTTCTCAAACCCAGAATACATTTGTAACCAGGAGATGTAAATATCCCTCCAGAAGAAGAGAGCTTCCTATCAGCAGCTCAAATACGTAGTCCCACAGGGGGATGTGTGTGATGAGGACGGCTGTGCTGACAGGCCAGAGATGTGCTGACTTGCTAAAGCTTTCAAAGGGAGACTTAGGCAGGAAGTTAGCAGACGTGTCTGCACAGCATTAGGAGCGAACGCTTTCAAGGTGCATACGGGACTCTGCATAGCCAGGCAGGCATGATTAGCAGCTGGACATTCTTTCGCAGGCAGAGGCCACGGGACCCCCTCTCACAGAGATTTACACCGCACGTGGCACGGGTCAGACTTCCTCAGAAAGGAGTGACTAGGATGATGTCCTTCAAAAAGGCACCCGATCTGGATTGATAATGTTGACATTCTTCAAGGATGATTCCTCAAGGATGAAGACTCCTTTGGTTTTCTGGAGACTTTTGATAATAATGAAATCACTCTCACCCTTTATTATTTGTGATTTATTTCTTGAATGTCTGCTTCCGGATGCCGGCTCTTATCCTGTCTGTTCATGTCAGAGCATTGTGGTTCTCTCCATGGAACTATCTATTCTCTATCATCAAGTTACCTCCTTAATATTAAGGTTTTCTAAGTCCAAGACAAGTCTGTACATTGACATGTACAACAGTGAAAATCAGGGCAACCACTTTTCTTTCTATTTTGATGAAGTTGCTACAATTAGAAGACATGGACAATTTGAGCCAGAGGAGTATGAAAATGCTATTGCTGCTCTAACTCACAGCCTATGTCGGAGATTCTTGAAGGCCTTTTCCTGTAGCTTTTCCTCTAAGAAGCATGGCCTAACAGTTGTTTACTTGTAAAATGCTATTAAAAAAACTGAGTTCCAACACACAAATAATTTCTCAGATAGACTGCCACTGAAAGTTGTGTGTAGTTTTATTTCAACATATCAAGCACAAACAGGTTTCCCCTAACTGGGGAATATGACGAGGAATGTACTTAAAAATTTGGAAACATTTACATTGAAAGATAGCCCAGACTGGCACCACCACTAAGTATTTTAAGGCTGTATATATAGCAGTACTTACCACTTGGAACTACTTCAGGCCAGAAAAGAAAGGCTTAGTATTGTCCGCAGTCTACAGAAAATATTGCAAATCTTTAAAAAATGGTGTAAAATAGGAAGACTATTAACAGAGTTGAACAATGCAGTGGCAAAACCCTTCCTCCTTCCTGACCTTTGACAATAAATGTGCCTACGACCGAACACACGTACATGTACACCGCTCCCATCCTTCTCACCTATCCTGGGGCAGTGGATGCCTCTCTACAATGCTAGTGTGTGATATTATAAACAGCCATATAGCAAATAATAACAATAATTGTAAGTGACCAGGTTTTATGACAGGTGTGTCTGATGTTACACTCGATGGGCCCGGTCCAGGATACCACTCAGCTCCATAAACAAACAAGGAGCTTTCACTGAATACTTCTCATTTCCTAAAGAGGAATGGCTCTAGGAAATTGTGCATATTTACAGTTCCTGTGGAATGGAAAATAAAACACATCCTGAGGTCCCATTCTGTGTGTGCTGACAAAACAGATCATGACTTAATATCCCGGGGGTGGATTTTTTGGATGAAGTGTGCTCCCTCGCATAATTAAAGGCAGCCGGACAGGCACCGTGGACATCGGTTCTTTACAGCTCCCCAACTGCCCTCCCTCACTCGTAGAGCTATGAACCAGGCCGGCGTGAGCTTTCCAAAATGCTGGGGTGTTTACCATTTTGGGGGTACCAATGCTGCTGGGTAATTATTAATTGCATCAGAAAATGACAAGACATAGAAAACAAATTGCACAATTAAAGCTACATTTGGCTTCAGCATTAAGGCCCATACAGGTTAAGAGGTCCTTGAAGATGTACATGTAAAAGGCAAAACTGACACAGTCTGCAGGAACAAAGTTTTGCAGGTTCCTAGGTCCCTTTTTAACCTCGTTTTTCAACTTTCTTCCACCTCTGCCGCGTTGGTTCTAAAGTGCTTTGGTGCCTCGCTGGGCTCCTTGCGTGAGTGGCCCCCCTCCTGCAGCCAGTAATCATTATTGCTGCCAAACGTAGTGATTTTATTTGAAGACATAATTAATGAATAGTTGACACGTAAGAAAGATGCAGAGGAGAAACCAACAGCGAGAGTCCAGGAGGAAGCTTTCAGAAGAGACCTTCCTGTGGAAGGACTTTTTGTTCAGAGCACTGAGGTTTCTGGAAAAGAAAGCAGTATGTTTACTTGGGTGTTGTAGGGAGGTGTGCATTCACACGTGAGCGCGTACCCAGAGCTTCCACACCGGGAGGGATCCCTGTACTTCAGAGATACCCATGGGTACAGCACTGTGCCCTGCAGACTTTACCTCCCCTTTCTAACAGAAAGATAAGTACTTCTGGCTGCTGCTGGATCAGGCAGAGCATGCTGGCTGGCATGAGAGGGTGCAAGGGCACAAACCCCAAGAAATCTCTTCATCCAGCACCCACTCACACACCTACGCCCTAACCTTCCCAAATACAAGAACTTGTCCTGGACAACCCCAAGAGCAGCAGAAAAAAGCTAAAGTCGTATCACCAATGGCTCCGGTGTGATCATGTGTGATCACGTGGCCTCATGTGTGATCCCACCCCACCGAAGCCTCGGGAGGGCTGGATAATACTCCTCATGCACAGGGGAATCAGCAGGGCTCCCTGGAGCAGATGTAGCAGTTAATATCTCTCCTGCCCTCCCCACAGAAGTCTGCGGTGCAAAGCCCTTTGGCAGCAGTAGGTTAAGCAGGTGTGATCACTGCTTACCTCAGACAGCAACTAGCATTCTATGCAAAAAGCGGAAATTTAGTGCTTTTCACCCACGGAGCCCAGTTTTCAGACCACATGCCTGCATCTCTGCAGCAAACTGAGCAAATTCATAACATACTTGTTGAGAAGGGAGGCCCCACGCCTTCTTGCCTAGCAGGACCTGGCCCAGTCCCTCCCAACTTCTGCAGCTGTTGTGCAGTTGGGAGTGCCAAGAGAGGCGTAACATGCTGAGGTGATGCTTTTTGCCCCATAAAGAGGAAGAGGTTTCCTCACTGTTTCAAGTAGAGGGTAGCTTTGCCTTTCCGGTGTGTTAGTAGGTTATGTATTGAAACAGTTGTTAACTGCAGCCCTGCAGCTGATAAGGACGTTCCAAAGGCTGTGGTGGAGGAGGTGCCCCAGGTTATTTTCAGCCCATTACGATCACTGATTTGATGAGAGAAAATGAGTACCTGTGTATGTCCTGTTGGGCTCTCTGTAGAGATAAGACGGCTGAATGAATTTCCTTCAGGTGATTCATGTCTTTCCCGCACTGAGCGCACAGGCTTTCAAACCCTGCAGCAAAGTATTGAAGGACATTGTGTTTTGCATCACCATGGTGGTGATGAAACACAAGCCAGGTTCACCCAGCAAGTGGCTGGCTGTGATCAAATTGTCATAGCCAGGGGGGACACTCTCAGGAGGAAACTTGGGGAGAAGGAGACAGGGGACATAATCTTCCACCCCAAAGACACAGGTCAATGGAACGGGTCCTGTGACACTGGTCTGGGGCTCCTTCTTGGCTTTCAGGAAATAATTTTTGCAGCACCCTCCCCAGCTGAGGGGAGGGGAATGGAGTGCTCACACCTGCCTCCATCTCTGAAACATTCAAGGTTACCTCCAACAAACAGTGAGAGAAGGGAATGAGAAAGGAAGCCTGTTTCCTATCTGTCGATTAGAATGTCAGTGTATTTTTCCAACACGTTTGTGCCAGGAGTTGGGAAGCCCTTGTCTGCACGGATAGCTATCATCAGGCAGAAAGAGAAGCAGAAGTACGTACGGAGAATAGAAAAGCAGAACATTCTCTGTGTTTGCCTGTGGGCTACGGGCTCACGGCATTAACTGGGCTGGGAAATGTCCCAGGACTGGCTCAAGGAATAAGGGACCGAGGGAAGAACATTAAAGCCTGACCCAGTGATACCCAAATACTTGCCATCATCATCTGAGAGCTCCTGCACCGACTCTGGCGTTGAGCAGCTGCTCTCTGTATTCTGGCTGTGGTTGGATGGCTGATCACTGGTTTTGCGGCGCCTGCAGTCTTTGGCAGACCTCTGGATGAAACAGGGGTTAAGAGAGATTCAGTCACTGTCAAATTGAAGACTCTTGTCTTTGGCTTCAAACAAAATAATTTGGAGTGCTGGGGAATATCTGTGAGATTGCAAAGTTTGATTGCTTTCTCAGCAACTCCTAGTAGTGGGACTCTTGCCAGCTACTTAAGGATATTACATGCATGCCCCGTACAGAAGCATTTCCTCAGATGGTTAACATCCATAAGACACCCATCCAGATTATTCTTCTTGTAGCTTTAACTGACACATACTAGTGATGAACTTTATAGTTCTTTTGCCGAGTTGCATACCCACCAACCAGATATGTAAGAGAAAGGATGAAAAGAAAAAAATTTAGAATCAAATTTCCCGGGGAAGATTTTTCAGAAGGTGCCTGAAGGATTTAAACATCACAGAACTTTTATGCCTAATTTCTTGATGCACTTTAGAAAGTTTCACCCTACCTCTCAGATGGGTAAACCAAACGCATTGATTCAAAATTCTCACTGGAGGGTCTCAAAACCAGTTATGAGCCTCAACTTTCCCATTGTTTCAGAGACATTCAGATTTGGGGTATTATAAAAGAAAAGTCTATGGACATAATAAGGTATGAGTTCTTCAGTGCAATATGGGTTATATCTAGCTAGTTCAGCAGTTCTGCATTTACAAAGCATTTTATGAATGACAGATATTACTCCAAAGATGAATGCAATGAAGTAACAGAAGTTTCATCTCTGTTTAAGGGAAAGGATGGAGAGAGGTTTCTTGTCTTGTCTAAGAGGAAGTTAAGTGACAAATGCAGATGGCAAAGGCCAAAATTGAAGTTGCAAGATCTCAGTTGTGTACTCCAAAACCTTGCTCACACCCTCACTATGGGATGTTTTCTGCTTTGGAAACACTGAACAGTGAAGTTCAGCTCAGTCACGTGGAAAACTCAGTATGAGAGTCACTGTCACTAACACCGGGTGAAAGAAAAATGCCAAAATGGATAGGATATGTCAACCAAGAATTGTAAGTATTTGGAGTTAATGATGGTGTAATATTGCAGGTCTAGAGTCGTAAGCTCTATTTACCCAAAACAAACCTTTCAGCCTACGCTGTGCTTACATGAAAATGCTGAAGAAAAGGGCTGTGTATCTAAACAATTGTAAAGAATATTATATATAGCCCAAAACAGGCTTTTTACCTTGTGCCGTGTAATTTGATTGTTTAGGCATGTTGTTTTGTGGTTTGACATCCTTGTGGATAAGTGTCTTTCCATGGTCTGAAGTATCCCATTCTTCTCAAATTGGGCAATATCATTCAAAGGATCCCAAGGTCTTAAACTTTTGAGACCAAAGGAAAAAAAAAATCAGAAAAGCAAGAATCCCACACCAGGTGTGTTAAGAGCAATACACTAATTCCGCACACATCCCTGACAGTAACCAGAGTTTCCACAAATGCAGTGTGAGGAGTAACAGATAATTCTCTCTACATTCACAGTTTCCAGCAATAAAAGGGGGGGGCGGGGTTTGGTCTCCAGAGGCTTCACTCTTCTTGCCAGGGGAGGAGAGCATAGTTGTCAACTCTGCTCACATGGTGCAGAAAATCTCTGCTAAATGATTCCATGCTTGATTGCAGTGATAGGGATTTGTACCAATGGCATAGCAGATTTTCCATTGCTAAGCCCTCATTTCCAGCTATTCCCATTTAGTATCAGGAATATGTATTCTAATAATGACATGGAGCTCAGAAAGACCAAGCCCAGGACATAGTGTGGGGAATGGCAGGACCCGAATTACAGGTCTGTAACCTTGCTTGCATCCCTGGTGACTCAAGCAGCGAGGTCTGTTCATAACCCCCAACCCCACCACTCACTCCTCATATTTGTAGTGCCATTCGTTAGTCGTGGCATCGTGCTGGAAGAGCAGCGGTTTCCATTCTGTGCCATTCTCTCTTCCTCTGCTCCTCTTCCAGCACAAATTTTTCCTGTGTCGCCTTGTGCTGATCACCTTTGTTTATTGCACTGGTAACGTGCTGCCAAAGCCTAGAAATAAACAGGGAAGCAAGTTAAACCACCTAAAAACCAACAATGCATTTTGCCAGCTGGAACCTTAGAGCAAACTCTTTTCTGGTCTATTGATACTCCAGAGAAACTGTAACAGGATTGCTCAGCCTCAGTTTTGGCTTGTGTATTAAAGGAATGTTATGAGAATGGCAAAACTGAATGCTGTATGCAATGATCTACTGAAGAACGGGGAAACTTTCCCTTAGATAACATCACCTACAATATTCATTACAATCTTCAGTGCTATCTGTGTGAGTTATAAGATAGTTATGCTCAATTCATTGAGGTCAGTGGTCTCTTTAGAGGTGACCGATGTATAATGGAGAATCTGTTATCTTCCTCGCCCTTTCAATCATTTATGTTTAGGAGCCTTTGTGTTAATGTCTATTCCTGAAACAAAGGCTTTATATTCAAAGTTTAGAAGTATTGGAAAATGAACTCATGTGCACGGCTTGCAGCACGGGTTGCACATATAGGATTAGCAACCAGATCTGCAGGAAGCTGATTCAACCTGCAAGAAACGGATGTGTACTTGCACTCACAAACTGCAAGCACAAACACAGGCTTTCACTCGCACTTGTTTTCAGCTGCCAAAAGATACGCGATCTGTCACATGATGTCTCACTGAGCCTCTGCCTGGAGGAGAGGATCTTCCTTTTACAAGAGAAAAATCATTACCTTTTTTTTTTTCTTCACTGTAGCCAAGCTGTGATAGGCCTCTCCACAGTTGCTCTAATCACAGCACCCTAATCTTCATTTCAGATTGGAAATACTTCTGAGACTAGCAGCTAGCCCTCCCACAACTTTACTGAGTGGCCTAGCGGTTAGAATAGGCACTGGAGATCCAGGCTGTTCCAGTATTCCCGGCTTCACAAAACACAAGTCCTCCATTTAGAAGATGAATACATTATTGCACTCAATTTGGAGCTTGCTGTGAAGCTCTTAATTTAAAAGGGATACTGATGCTTTCACTATCTTTCTATCACCATACGTTAACACAACACTTCCAAAAAAGCAGCCTCTTAGATAATTAACTGAAGGCAGAGGAACACTTTCCTGTCCTTTTTGACACGTCACTCCCATTTTCCTGTGTATGAATTTTTTCTCTCAGAAACAAAGGAAGGAAACTCAAGTCAAACTCAAAGTGATGGGGATGGGGGAGGGAGGAGTGAAAATAACGGCCTAAGAAAATACTGCGGTGGCGTAAAGACTCAGTCCTAAGGAATACGGTGGTGTAAAGAGTGAGTCCTCTAATTCCAAGAACCTCAGAGGAACACGCACAAAATTGTTTGACAAGGGCAAATTACTCCATCAAGAGCTGCATGTGTCAGACAATGAGACCCTCCATGGTGAGCTGCATAATGGTATGAGCTTCAGAGACTCTCCAGCGTTTGTGAAAATAGGTAATTTTCAGCGCTGCAGGAAAGACTAAGCAATTCAGGCAGAACATAACCTGGATTAGATGCTAATTTATTCATGCAACTGTCAGCACAATAAGGAGCTCAGTAGAATGTCTGTTAGGGATCTCTAGAATTTTTCCTTTTGCCTCCTTCCTCTGGATGCATGTATCATTATTAATCTCTGATGCAGCAAAGGGAGCCCGCTCTGGCAGTACCCTGGTAAACAGAGAAATGGAGATTCTTCGTCCACAAGACCGAGAGTTCTCTTCTTTAAAAGAATCTTCTTCAGAAGATTAATAACGTGCTGCAGTCTGCTCTGCTCTGTGACAATGGCAATTGCATGACTGTAAGTTACAAATACAGACTTTATTGCCCATAACGTCCACTGCTGTCCAGAACAAACTAAATGTTCATGTGTTTTTATTTTCGTGCAATCCCTTTCTTTACCCGTAAAAAGGGGAATCTTCTTAGTGTGATGTGATGCAACACCAAAATTAGATGCCCACAGGGAAGTGGCCAATGTAATGCAGAGCCAGGCAGCAAACTGCCTGCATTGGCTTGGGATGTTAGCTGGTACTGGGAACCATGTTGGTGAGATGGCAGGACTAGTTGGTCCGAAGCCAGCGCCACATGATGTTGCTCTAGCTGTTCTTGCACAAGAACTGGCTCGGGGATGCTCATTGCACCAGGTAGTCATTCCTTCCACTTCTTAAGTCATGTGCCAGGACTCTATTTTTAGGTAATCTAGATTACCCTAAAAGAATTGGCACAGACTTCACTGGAGATCTCACCTGAGATTACGAGGCAGGGTTAAACATCCATTTAATTACATTCTCTCATAAAATCCTGTTATGTGGTTCAAACTACTGCTCTGCTCATGCCAGGACTTTCCACATGATTCCTGCATCTAGTTTAAGAGCCTGTGGTTGAAACAACCATTCTTAAACAAGACATCCAACCTCAGATTGACATCTTGCCCTTCCACAAAATCTTCCAGCAGTTACAGAGACTCTGTTCATGATCTCTGGAGTTCAGAGAGAGTTGTTATTTTAGCAGATAAAATGTAGCCTCCACTATTTCTCAGCCCAGCTTCCTGGTTATTTTCAGAGCTATACTTCATGGAAATACTCCAGAGTTAATAGACTGGAAAAAAACAGGTAAATGTCTGGGTAATATGTGCAGGCAAAGCAGGTCACTGCCTTTCCAGGACTGTGCTGAGGAATTGGAGCCTTCTGATCAGAGCCCCACTTGCAGCGGGGAAGCAGCAGCAAGACGTTCCCAGAGCTCCTTACCTCTCCGACTCAAAGTCCGTCTGCTCCTCAAACAGCACAATATGGCGCTTCAGTCTCTGCCTTCGTACTTCACTGGTCGGGTTCCAGAACACTTCCGCATTCCCGTTTTTCAACTCATTTATATGCACTTCCCCATCCTGAGAAGGAAAATTAAGTGAAAAGGTTAATGACAATCAGAAACACAAGGCAGAAAATAATCCTGAGAAATGGAATCTGCTTCCGGATGATGATCAGGGATAGGGCTTGGTTAGAAGGCTTCTTTCCTCCTCTACGCCATTAAATCTCACTAAACGCTTCCTCAAAGTTTCTAAAATGAATGAGGCGAGGCATTCCCAGAAACATTGCCTTGAACTAATCAGAGAAGAATTAGAAAGGGACCTGGTCCCTTTTGTTAGTCTCATCCCCAGACAAGGGTACCCCCAGGAGCCCTAAGATGCTCTTTTTTCCCCACTGTTCCTCCCAGGTACCACCCAGCTCATAGAAATAAGAACCCTAGCTCCTTTTCCAGTCTTTCTTCTTCTATTCCTCAATGCTGAAATCTCACGCAGAGCCTACCAAAATACCATCCTCTCTAGTAAGGAAAGCTAAAGCTGAGATACTCTTTCATGCTGTTTTTAAATTTAACCAACTTCTATTATTGCTCCTGAATTTCATTTAGCACTTCAAAATGCCAGGGGTCTTTCATACTTATTCCTTGTGAACTTACTTGGCAACCAACTATTAAGTAGCACTCCTCTGATCTGAGGCTGGCTAGACAATATTGCTGTGTCCCTGCTTAACTAAGCTGCTTCTCACATTCACAGCAATACCACGGAGCCAGATGGGGTAGTTTACAGAGCATATAGTGAACAGCATGACGCTGACTCCGAGTGGAATGAATCAGACGATTACAGCTGCTGAACAGCATGTGCATTGGTGCCATTCAGCTGCCTGGACATGGTATGGGTATCATGCAAACCTTATTTAGATCATGGCTATTGGCTTTGCCTGTCGCTGCCTAACTTCTTTGTGTCCCAGCTGCTGCATTTCTTCCCCTGCCATGGTCCCTTGATGCATATCTCAAAGTCCACTTCCCACATCTTCAGCTGTGAAACTCCTTCAACCCTGAGGGACTCTCATCCTTCCTCAAAGTCTCCCTCAGGACTTCCTCTGCCATGTCCTGAGGTGCCAGTTCCAGGACAGATATCTGGTCCCCAAGATCTGCCCGAGCTGTGGATGGGAGGAAGCAGGCAGGCATTATCAGACACCACCTGCACCTCTAAGGGGCATATATACAAGCCCTCAGCTGCTGCTTTGACCCTCGGGCTGAGAAGCATTACGATTTGCTTCCCTTCTTTATTCAGGTGGGTTTTCAGGTCCTGAGGCAGAGAATTAGCCTTTCAGCTGTGAGGGTTTCTGTCAGGAAACTGGATGGTGCCAGAGAAAAGCCTGCAGAGCTCAGGAGAGCAGGCCAATACTCTCAGCAGGGAGCGAGGAGAACAAACAACGTCCCTATTGCTGCACAGCAGCTACTCTATTCACAGCATGCAACTGCAAACAGCAGCTTACGGAGCCACCCTTTCAAAGCCATTTAACTTCTTTTATACGTAATTCTAACTTTGTGCACCACAAACGACCAGCACAAAGAACAAGGGAGGAATAAATTATTTTCAGGCTGATAAAACCTAAACACAGAAGGCTGGAAGCTGAGCAGCATGCAACCGTGTGGCTCAGCACCCCAGGAGAGCCACTCGATTACATGCTCTCGCGGATGGTGTTCACAGGACCCACCACAGACAAGGTACTCCACAGTTCAGCACAATTCACAATTGCCAAGGCTCATCCTGCAGGAAAGGGAGCTCAGAATGGAAAAGCTACCCAGGCACAGGGAGCAAATCCCCTTGTATACACCTAGAAAGGGCAAATCTCCCAGTTTCAAAATGGTCATTAGCTTTTTATGCAAAAAGACAGATTGCCTGAGGGGAGGAGTCCAATACCACTGTGATTAGGACCTCACTATAGAACGGGCTTTATCCAGGCACATTTCACCTGACCTACTTTAAACACCTCCTTTAGGATGAGACAAATCTTGTCTCAGGAGTGACAATTTCTATGGACTGGAAAGGAGCATAGGTCAACTATAATGAAGATGTAGATCTCTAAATGTAGCTGAGATAAATACCTAAATGTCCAGCCCAAAGCCAGGCTCACTGCTTTTGCCTCCAGGAGTTCCCAACCAAAACTCTAGTCTACATCCTTCACCATGCAACTTTATTCTTGCTGGATTTTGGCTTAAGGATGCCTTAGTGTGATTCACTTGTGGATACCAGGTGTGCCAAGGTGCTAGCTGCTCTGCTGACTATTCTGAGCTGCCCATATAGATAGACCCTCACAGAATCTGCCTCTTGGTCCTTCATCTCATGAAACAGAGGAATAACTATCTTCTACCATAAAGGTTTGCTGTGAAAATAATGAATTTAAAGCCCTATGAAGTTCTTCCCTGATACTGCCGCAGCTGGGGAAGTATTAGACACAAGACAAAAGGAAGCCTCGTGATTTTCACAATCACACATAAGACATACTATGTCTCCTGCCATCAGGGCTTGTGCTAAGCCTGGGACTCTAAATTCAGAGCCGCTGGCTTTGATGGAAACGCAGTTCACCGGTCCCAGCTTTGGCCCAGGCTCTGGGAGTGCAAGTGTTACTCACACTGCAGGTGGATGGGACTACTGAAGCATAAATGACCTTAAGAGGTGTGGCTTGGAAAGCTCCGGCTCGCCTGCGCTCCCTGGGAATGGCAGGAAGAGGCAGGACGCGGGCTCTCCACAGCCCTCGCTCCAATGGCGGGAAGAGGCAGGACACGGGTCCTCCACAGCCCTCTCTCCAATGGCGGGAAGAGGCAGGACGCGGGCTCTCCATAGCCCTCGCTCCAATGGCAGGAAGAGGCAGGACGCGGGTCCTCCACAGCCCACGCTCCAACACAGGGAGCCTGCCAAGGGCTGCCAGTCCTCCCACGCACCCTGCTGCCACGCGCACTTAAACTGTCAGCAACTTCGATTATCGTATGTTACCCAGTGTCCATTGAGACTTGCTAACACTTCTTCTCCTGATTTAATCTTCCCAGAGATTTGATTAATGCTTGCGCTGCCACCGAAGAACGGCTGTCAGGGGAGAATAGAAATAGAAAATATCATCAGTCTAGTGAGAACTGGAAGGTAGCCAAACGCAGTGATGCAGCAGGAGGGAAGCGAACTGCAACCTGCCTGATTTCCACTATTTCTGGGGAAAGGCAAAATGAATTCTAACACAGATTGTGACTGTCTAGCATTGTGCCCTCCTCCTTTTGTTTACAATACCAAAATCTCTGTAGGAGCCGCAGGAAGGGAGATAAGCTTTCAGGTGCATTAACATTCAGCAGTGCAAGGCCTCGCCTTCACTGCAAATACATTTATTGTCAGCTAGACATCGGGCTAGGTGTACGTGGGCAAGTCCTTCCCATTGTCCAGAACCACATTACAGTTTGCACCCTTACACCTTGCAACCTTGTCCAAAGAAAAGGAGCAGCACTAATGCAGTTGGTGACTTTTCCTGCTTATGGGACAGCAACAGCAGTGTGGCACTGCTGATGGCTGCATCTGTGTGAAGTCTCCAGTGTGAAGAAGCTCTTGTCAGCAGCAAACAAAAAAAGAAAAAGGGTATTTCCAGAGTCAAGGAAAAGATTCACAGAACAATGGAAAATTCCCCTCACCTCCTGCCTGCCAAACACAGGAAGCTGCAGTGATAGAGTGACCAGCTTCCCATTCATACCACACAACATTTCTTCAGATGTTTTAGTAGCTACTTTCCAATAACGTTTGTGCAGAGGAACTTTTTTTTAGTAACAATATAAAACCAAATTTCCCACAACACCCATGGAAAAAGAAATCACAAGTATCTCAAGAATCAATGTATGCAATCCAGCAGAGAATTGGTACATATCCAAATTAATAACAAAGTTATGGGTTTACCTTTAACTCTCACAATTCTACTAAAAAAGGTGGCTAAGAAATATTCAAAGCAGAGGACGTACTGAAGCCACAGGGACCCTTCTGAGTCATGTTTGGACTAAGCATATTGTTTTCAAGCCAGAAAAGAAGGGTCTGCATTTTAAGCTCTGAAGCATTTGTAGGTTTGAGATGACACTGACCAAACTCCACTGGCCTCAACACAGTATGTCAGGCCTATGGGAAGAACAGGCTTTAAAGACAAGTATATGCAAATGTCAAGGAAGCACATGGGGCAATGGTTCACTTCATAAGGACAAATAAAGACAGAGAGTTATTATTGTCCCCAGAAAAACGCAGTCTGCAAAAGACTCCCCTAACTCCAGCAATCTCTCACATTGTTGGCTAAGGCTGCAACTCTAAAGTCCTGCAGGCTCTCAGTTCTCCATCTTTCATTTTATGCCCAGGCAAGAAATCATTTGTTGGAACAGAAGAGAAATGGATACTCCTTAAAAAGCAAGTTAATTGTCCAAGAAAAGTTAGTGGTCATCACTTTCCCTCCCAAATTTTAACACATTAGGAATGCTCAAAGATGTCTCAATTTTATCCCCATACCATAAATTTGCATCACCAGGCTTTCTAGGGGAGGGAATAGCTACAACAACTCAGTACAAAGCAATGAGAGTGCAGCTCATCAGTGTGATAGCCACTCAAAATTAAGTGCCTGGAAATGGGCTCTTACCCTACCGTCAAGGCAAGGTCCTGTAGCCTTGAGAAACACAAGGTACAGTTCACTGGAATACCTGCACGGTAAGAGTACGTATGAGATGGCTACTGGAGAGCTACACTGAAGGTCCACATCCTAACTTGCCTCAGAGTAGTTTGTACACCTCGCTGTATTTTGCAAGCAAAAATAATTGTACCTTTCTAAGCAGAAGGCACACTGTTGTTGGCAAACATTCAGAACAGAGTTTGGCCAGTAGCCAGCTGGCTGGCAGTGAACAAGTCATGTGTAAAACTCCAGCTTCCTGGGTTTAAATGGAGTTGCACCAGCCAAAACTGACTGCAGGATGATGCCTCCTCTCCGGGTAGGCCACCCCATGGTGCATGCATACATTGCTGGTACATAAATGGTCTGGTGCCTATGGTCAAACCTTGCCTGGAGTGCAGGGGCAAGCCTGAGACCCATTCAAAATGGGGGCCACAATGTCTCTTACTTTTAGCTTGAATTCCAGTTCTGCCCTGTGGTTAGTTTTCTCACAGTCGATGGTAACTTTCCCTCCAAGCTCCATTGTCATGGTACCATATAAAAGTCCTGAAAGGGGAAAAAGAGACTTAAGGGAGGCCCCAGCAGAAGTGATGTGCTTTCTCAACTCGAACTGGCTCTCACTGACATGCTGTGAAATTTGCTACTTGGACTAAAGTTTTGAAAAGACAGAAACCAAAGTTTCCAGGAAATGGCTCTTTACTATAAGCATGAAGAATCCTCCCCTGAGTCCATATTCCCCATTTATTACACCAGCTAGGAAATAGCTTGACTCACAGGTGCTGACAGCACATCTGTGGCAAACTGAAAGTGGGAAAGGAAACATAAGGGAAGTTGTGCCCAGCAACTTCATTTATACTAGTGCTTAAACAGACCTAGTCGCTCCTCACAGGGTAGATGGGGCAGAGAGAAGCTGTAATGGGATTCAGCAGAATCTGGAAGACTAGCAGTCATGTAGGGGACTCCTTTTTACACATGCTTACCGTTTTCTGAAAAGGTCATTTGCAGAAAAAGAAAAATTGACAAGAAAAAGATTTATGCACAGGAACAGTTCACAGAGGGCGTGATTTACAGAAGTTACTGTTTTCAGGTAGCTAGACCCTCCACAAATATAACTTAGAGATCAACATGCCAAAATAAAAAATATGCAAAAACCAAAATTGGATCAAACTGCTGCAGGAGTGATTTTATCACTGTGGTTGAAATGCCACCAACGCTTAGCATCCTAAGGAGAAATGCAAAGTTACAGCAGTGCATCAGCAGCCATTCCCTGGCCTCAGTGCACATTCACCTCAACAGAGCAAAGCCACATGGTAACAGGTATCAGCCTCACTGAGGCAGCTCGTACACTGAGGAATATCATGATTAGAGGAACAAAGAAATCAGAAGAAAAGTCAGGAATTTCCTTTATTCTCAAAATAGCCAGAAAATATATTACACAATTTCAGTGTTAACATTAAAAAGTCTTTTTATCCTCTGAAGCTCAGAAATGTACTCTTACTCTTTCCATCTTCACTTTATCTGCAGTGCATATATGCAGTATTTTTTTGTTTCTACATAGTGTTAAAACTAACTTAGATGGGCCTAATTCTGCCCTCAGCTCTGCACAGACAAATCAAAAAGATTTCAGTGAGGATTACCAGTCTTCTGCTGAGCACTATGACACATGTGCAGAGCAACTGCTTCCTGGAATTACCAGTCCCTGCACGGCCAGATATTTGAGATGGAAGAAGAGAGCCAGTGCAAAGTTAGTCAGCACAATACCATTATATTACTCTTTCTGTTTGCTTCCTATGTGAACAGTCGTAACTTACCTTTACAGTGGGCGTATGGCATAGTAATTATATAATCTTCCCCCCTGTTTAGAAACGTAAGCTTTGCTTTCCCATCCAACAGTGCAGAAAGTGAGTTACCTAGAATTTAAGAGAACAAATACATATATATTAAAAAATGCATGTTATACTTGGTCACTCATCCTACTTCAGAAAGACATTTCCATTTCAATGTAGGTCACTAATGAGAGAAGAGATATGAAATGCTACTAATTCAGGACGCTGCAAATCATTTACTGTTGGAGGCAGGCAGTTCTAATAAACTCTCTGCTGTATGGCTCATATTTGCTCTGGCATTTAGCCCCTGTTGCACAAAGGGCAGTAGATTAAATAAATCATTAGTGGGATGCAGAAAGCAGTTCCAATGCTTAGTTTTTCAGGTCCTTCTGTTCTCCCAACTTTTCTGATTGTGTATAATCCCAAGTAAACAAAATAAAATTGAAGGACAGCAGTGACCATTTACAAGTGTTTCAGCAAATACATTCACCAGAGGATAGTACCTGAGAGGTCTTTGTCTGAACAAAAAAACCTATTTCAAATAGCAACACTGTTTCAGAGCCTGCAGTTGTGCTGCCTCCATTGCGATTAAAAGGTTCGAGGACATTTTGTGGCTCTAGGGTTCAACTCTCAAAAACCTGGGAGCTGGATAAATGGTTACATTTATACAGAGACTTTTGCAAAAGTCAGTTGGATGATTAGATAGCCATAAAGTGGCTCATCCACAAGCACATGCAAAGTAGTCTGACAACCAATTGCCCATACATTCTCATGAACCTTTGCTTTCTGAAAACCAGGTTTTTAAAGCTCTGAATTTTTCTGTCTGTTTTTGTTTTTTTTTTTAAACATCAGTGTGCTCTCCCACTGAAATGATGGAAATGGGGAAAACCCAGGAGAGCCAAGACAAGGAATGAGGGTGTCCTGGTGGTAGATTTCTTAAGCATCTCTTGGTTCTTAACTCTCAACACACTCAGGAGTGATTGAAAAACAAACCAAAACCAATGCCATGATGCTACCTGGAAGATGCCTAGGCTTAATGCCTTACCATAAAACTTGGACCTAGCTAGGATGCTGCCAGTAATGCAGAATCCGTCCTTCCTATTGCTGACATGAAAAGCTGACACTGGCGGATGATGGGAGACCTAGAAGAAAAATAGGCACAGGTCATTCACAGCAGTCTTTACAGGCTAAGCAGAGCAGCGGGTGCATACACAGCCTCACACAGTGTCATGCATGCACTAAGGAAAGTGCAAGATGGAGGCCACAGGACTGAGCAGAGTCCTCTAAGCCCCATCTGTACCACTAACCTCAATGTTAGAGGAGGGAACATCATATGTGAGACCATTATATATGAGAACATTATATATGTAAACTTTCTCCCCCACCCTGTATTTTCTTGTCCTTGTGCATCTGAGATCACTTTAGGTTAACAGCTACACTGTCAGATTTTCAACACAAAAAATGACAGTGCAGAACTTTTTGTCAGCATCTGAATAACCTCCATAAAATGGATGCAGTGGCTGAAATAAAATAAAACAAAATAAAAATTCTCTGATTAAATAGGAAAAACATGTATGTGAAACAGGGAGTCCCTGTACCAAAGTCCACATGGTCCTCAGATCTCTTTATTAACACTGTAAATCTCAAACTAAATTTTGTCAGGCCAGTTTACTTGTGAGCTCTGCCCTTCATTTATCCCCAAAGACATAGAGAGAAGCCCTCAATTTACTCCTATTAAAATAATTATAGAAAGTTTAGAAATAAAGGAAGGTAGCATTTGGTTATGTGTTTTATGCCCCTTTTGACAGAGGCAACACAAACCATGTTTTATTAACGATAAGAAAACAGCAGGGTGGAATCCCATGGGAAAGGTCTTCATTGAAGAGGCTATTCATATATGCGAGACCTGCTTTTATAGTCCTGAGTGCCCACCAAAGCTCACATAATCTCTGTAAATCTAAAAAGAAAAAAGATCAGCAGCTAGTTTACCCCATGTCCCACTCCAAACCTCCAAGTTCCTCTCCTACGGTGAGATGAGGAGCATGTTCCTATGCACAGAGGTGCAAGCAGGCTGCTGTTTGCAACACCTGAGCATCCAAATAAAGCAACTTACCTGTTCTGCTATGTAAAATGTGTGACTGTTTGTCTGAGGGTGAAACCAACAGCAGCGAAATGTCTCTCCCAGAATAGGGTTGTATGGCTTTTTTATTCCCTGAAAAACAAAGTAATCAAAACCTGCTACCAATGAAGATTTGCTATCCAACCCTACAGAGATGGCCACAAAACAACATAATAATTTTCTCCCTGATGTTTTAAACTAAGTCAATCACAAGAATCAAAACCGAAGAACTGGTTACATATATCCTCCTAATCTAATCTTTTAATTTGAGCCATGGCTTCATCTGCTATTCTCACCAACTTAATCTTCGATACTGCCTGACCAAAGCTTTACAAGATGATCAAACTTTATTATTTCTGCTACTCTAGGCAGCAGGTGCACAGTGAAATGGAAACGTGGGACTATGGTACCTAACAGGCCTGAAAAGAGAAAGGAGACCTGCTTTCAGCAAAGGAAAAAATCTTGCATCCAAGGACATATTACTTGTTGATGACTAGTTTTGCCTTCTAACTGTCCAGTGCAAAGGCTCTGAGGTTGATCAACGCTATTTTGCACTCAATGTCTACTCTGAGACCAAATGCAACTTCAGTTTAAAAAGTAATGGTCAAAGTCGTCTGAACAATAGAAGAGGTAAAGTGTCAAAGGAAAGGCAATAAAGAAATACACAACCATAGCAGAAGACTTTAATGTCCGTTACAGCCCCAACTTCATGCATTCTTTACCTTTGGCTTCTTATAGAAGCCGGACAGGTACCACCTCAAAACTTGCTTCATTCGACTATATGGATCATCTTCAAGGACAGCCCTGCAGGACAGAACATAAAATGCTCTTTATACTGTTCACACATTGCATTCATTTCATACCAGTATAATAACATTAATTGCAACAGTATTTCCCCAGTACTAAAGGGAAGTAACTTCTGTGCTGCCGCCAGTGAAAAAGGTGTCTGCCAGCAGAAATAATTTTTTTTAGTAACGTACATCATATGACACACACATAAACTCTTAAAAAGTGGCAGCCCTTGGCCTGTGCTCCTGCAAAAAGCCTAATAAAATTTTTGGAGTGTATCAGGTTTGACTGGACATTCAAGCATGTTAATGTGGGACTGCCACTCACACTAGCATTTAGTTACAGCTAATAGTACAGTGTGAGTCATAAAAACAATAATACTTATGCCACCAAAATCAAAGACAATTCTATTTTTCTCTCTTTTTCTTTGTTTCCCTCTCCCTTAAAAGATCTTTAAAGCTGATGTGCTACATGGCTTCTTTCAGTACTTTGATATTTCATAGAGTAATTTAGCTTGGAAGGGACTTCTCAAGGTCATCTCGTCCAATCCCTCCCCACTGAAAGATGAAGTGGGAAGTAAACATAAACAATAGGGTTCCTGGTATTTCCAACCATTTGGGCAGATTTGAAAATCAACCTGGATAAGTTTCTGCAAAATCCATTTAGAGGGATCTTCCATACCACAAAGAGGTTTATTTAAAAAAACCTCCAAACCTCTTGAAGTTTTCTTAGATCTCAGCACTGTGAAGAACCATTTCCTTAACTTCAGAATACCACAAACAAGGCTTGAAAATACCACGATTCTAAAATTACCCAGAGGCAGTGGAACAAACATGAGTAGTTTTCTTGAAGTTTTCTTAGGTCTCAGCACTGCGAAGAACCGTTTCCTTAACTTCAGAATACCACAAACAAGGCTTGAAAATACCACGATTCTAGAATTACCCAGAGGCAGTGGAACGAACATGAGTAACTAGTGCTGCTATTTGAATATTGCACACATTGGTTTTAAAATACACCAGGCATATCTCATTGCGAAGGTTGGTCCTATCTGCAAGCATAACATTTTCTATTTTCTACTGTGCTGCTTCCAGCAGGTCTCTTTCACCAATGGTGTTAAAAGATGTTTCTTATTTGTTTATCAACCAACATAATTATATTGCTTTTGGGGGCAGAAGTGCTTGACAATTCTGTTTGCTCTCTGTCCTATTCCCCTCTGCACACAAGTACACCAGAAGGTGGCACAACTCTGTTGCAAGACGCTCAAAGGCATGAGCTGAATCCCCATCAGTTCCAGCCAATGCTGGCAAACTTGTGCATGTGCAAAAGTAGTTTTGCCTGGAGTTTAACTGTATTCCTTGCTCCCTTGCCCCTCACTGGCAGCAGTCCATCTTTAAAAGGTCACTGCAGCTGGCACCTGGCTTGATTTACATTGAATCCAGCGACCTGGGTATTATTTGGGAGCCTTTCAAGCATACAAATGCACCCCAGCCAGCACCAAGCTAACACTGTAATGCATTTTCACAAATATAAGACAAGTGCCCATGTCAGGCACGCTCTGCATGCTGCTTACTGGGAAAGCAGGTCAGCATGGTAGTAGTAATCAGAGAGTTTGTTAAGGAACGAGCGTGGCTCCAGGATGAAGGTGGGCAGCACCACCCGTGACAGGTCCATGCCGGGCCGCAGCTGCTTCAGCAGGATCCACATCAAGCTCTTGTTCTCCTCAGAGACGGTTTCTGTTTGAGACGATTCACCTGTCTACGATGGGAAAAGGGAAGTTCAGGGCAGAAACAGGATAACCATTTCTTGTGGGTACATTTACCTGGAGGGTCCAAGCTCACCCAGGCATACCTGGCCCTGGCACTCAGCTACACCACTGCAAAGAGACATCAGCTCTGTCTCAGGAGAATCGAATCCCCAAAGCACTAAAGTGAGTGGTACAGAAAGCCCTGGGCCTCTGCGAGAGCTGGCACAAGGCAGGGAGCACGCCTCTGCTGTGCTCCTTCCTGAGCCGCTGCCTCCACGCACCTCAGGACTGTGATGGGCCAAGCTGGACCAACATTAACCAAGGGGACTCTGCACTGCAGTCTCTCAGGAGGTGCGGACATGCCCAAGACTCTTTGTTACAGCATCACTGCAGCCTGGTGGGATGCATACAAGAAGCTCCTCTCAGTCCCATTCTCAGCAAATGAGAGACTGTAAGATTTACTATTACACGTGTAGAAAAATTTAGGAGATAAACAAGTAATCAACAAAGAATGGAAGCAGTCCTCCAAGTTCAAAATAAGACAAACCGGTAGTGTAGGTACGGTAAAGGCCCTACTGCCCGGCAAGTGCACAAAAACTACAGCACCCCCCAACGCTGCTCTGTGCCCTCTGCAGCAGAAGTGCAGGTAACGGTAAAAAGCCTGGGATTTTGTTGTGGCTTCAGCTATAACTGTAGTTCCTCTGCATTCAGTGGGGCTACATGAGGTTTAACATGGGGGAATTGGCCTTTCAACCCACTGGAGAAAGAAAATGAAACTAAATTTTCAAACATGAATGTCATTTTAATGCATCCTAGGCATCATAATTTAACAATGAAAGAGAATATTTAGGCTTTCTGCTGTTTTTAGGCAAGAGATTTCTATGAGAAAAAGGGCACAGATCCACTTCTGGAATGGACTTTGGTTTGGGAGAGGAAACAAAACATATCCCAACAGGTTCTGCAGATGGTGTAAATCACTAAACACTCATTTTTACCACCTGAGCATTCCCAACACCACCTTTTTGGCTCCAAATCAGCCCTTTTACTAGTCATGCAGAAACACACTAAGTCCAGCTTGCAGGCTGAGGGGAATTTCAGATTGAGGAAGAACAAAGCTCTTTTCATTTCATTGCTTTTCCATTATCACACTATTCTTCTTGTGACAGTTTGATGCAATACACAGTTGGAACCTCCAAAAGAAATGGAAACCATTAAACAATGTAATACCACAGCATCAGCTAGGGCTGACAATGCATATGGGTCTGTCAGACCTTTCATTATTTATCCAGGTTCTCATGTGTGCATGTATTGGCAATATAAACTAATACCATGTTGAAACTGCTGTACAAAGTGTTACTCAGGACGAACCACTGTAGAAAGGATGGATGCAAAGGGAAGGAGAAGGTGCAGGAGGATGAGGACAACTTCAAATTTTTTCTGGTTTGCTTTCCCCTAAAATACATGACCCTCAGTAACCCTTTTTATAACTTGTTAAAACTAAAAGCTTGGGAAAAAAAGGTTTTTTGGTTATCAATCTACCTACTGAGGAGGTGTCTTTTTTAGACCAACTTTTGCAATCTCAAAGTTCTTCTGACACCTGTCTCCGCCTTCACATTCCTACTGCAAACAAGGCAAAGCTGGAATGTCAGATGCACAAGCACGCACTTTTCAAATGCGTACAGACGCACATACATACGTGCACACCTTTCAAAGGAGCTTTCAAAGCCAAGCTGAAAATTTAACAGTGATAGTTTGCATCTGTGACCTTTGTCCTGCCAAATCTGAACTGTATGCACAGACTGAGGGGCAGCAGTTTCAGTTTAAGATGACAGTTGATGTTATTAGTTGGCATGTGTTTATCTTGATACATCTCTGCCCATTGCTGACAGCAAACTACATCACTGCATACAACCTACTTTTCCTGATGTTACTGTCACCAGTGGGATAAGACTCAACAACCAGTCCTACCAGTGTGTCCCAGGTGACGACAGCCCCATCTCTTGGCCAACAATGGAAATCTAATAAAACACCTAATGGCCAAGGCTGCATGGCAATTCTTTTTGAAACCCTGCTGGATGTTACTTCTGCCTGAGCAGCCACACCATAGTTAGCCTTATTTTATGCTACACAAAGTGTCACTCTACAGCAGAAATTTAGTCCTTTCCATTTGGTTTGTACTGCATTTTTTTTATTTTAATGTAAAACTGCAGAGATCTCTCTCATTCTCACACACCCACATACACATATCAGTGCTGCCTGTAAGGCTCATTCAAACACCAAAGTATCAGGCTGCCCTACCAACATTTCTAGGACAAGTTTGTCATGTGGCAAAAGGTCATTTCAGAATTAGCAGCTCACAGAAACTAAGTTTGCCTTCATTTTTCTGTTGCTTACTTTCTCAGCTATATTCAAAATCCCCTGTTTGAACCCAGTTACCATTTGCTGTGTATCTGGTGTGGAATTTGGGGGAGAGATGCACAAAAGAGGAGTTACGGGTTTTTTTGTCTCTGTAGGCAACAGTTCTGCTTGCAAGCACAATTCCTACAGCAGGGGCTTGCACCTCACACCTGACATCTGAAATGGCAGCAAACATATGCTACCTGGATTGGTGGCTCCAGACCACAAACTGCTGCTCTTGGGGGTGGTTGGGCTGTGGAAAGGAGGAGGCAAAACTGAACTCCACCTGCACCTCTGCAAGGTGGTATGGCAGAGACGTTCTTTTGTGGTCTCTCAAGTAGGCTGTCCTGCTATAAGGAGTCTGTGGAGAAATAAACAGGAGTAATATAATCTGCATGTGGGACACCTAACCATTCCCAATGTTTTAAGTTATCACTGAATGAAACATAAACTGTAATTACTATATATTTAACTGTATTTGTTTCCTCAATATTACTAGTACACTTTCAGGAAAACACTGAAAGAGGAGCATAAGAGGCTGTTGAAGGGTCTAGAGCACAAGTCCTGTGAGGAGCGGCTGAGGGAACTGGGCTTCTTTAGCCTGGAGAAAAGGAAGCTCAGAGGAGACCTTATCGCTCTCTACAACTACCTGAAAGGAGGTTGTAGCGAGGTGGGTGTCAGTCTCTTCTCCCAAGTAACAAGCAACAGAACAAGAGGAAATGGCCTCAAGTTGCTCCAGGGGAGGTTTAGATTGGATACTAGGAAAAATTTATTCACCAAAAGGGTTGTCAAGCACTGGAACAGGCTGCCCAGGGAAGTGGTTGAGTCACCATCCCTGGAGGTGTTTAAAAGCTGTGTAGATCTGGTGCTTAGGGGCATGGTTCGGTGGTAGACTTGGCAGTACTTGATTTATGGTTGGACTCGATGATCTTAAGGGTCTTTCCAACCTAAATGATTCTATGATTCTGAGAAAGAAACAGCTTTCTAGCAAAGTGGTTTTCTTTGAAGCACCGACAAGACTTCAGCTTCCTTGTTCAAAGCAATAGGCAAGGGAGTGCTCAGAGCCCCTCTGGCACTGGAGCAGAGCTCCTCCGCTGCCTGCCTGGACTGATTCTCACCCAACACGCTTGGCTCCCCCAGCTCTCTACTGCTGCCTTCCTCAGAGGTGTCACAGTGACATCCAGCTAACAAAGGCTCTTGTATGGAAGAGAAATGCATCCTCCTGCTGTTAAATGACATGAGAAATGGCTTTCCTACAAGAAACTGTCATTTAGGAATCAAGTGGCTCAAATGCTCCATTAGGACACACAAAAAAAATGTTCCATGCATAATGAAAAAAGGAAAGTATCATATTTTGTATCATGCAAGGACTGAGCATCCTAATTGGCCAGGACACATGCCCAGAATAGTAATTCCCCCTCCCGCTGGCTCCACAAAGCACCGTGCCAATGCTATGTGGCTCTTTAATGCAGTAACTGGTTAAAGCAAACGCTGATGCTGGAAACATGCCAAAGCATAGTAGCAGAGCTGCTGTTCATAATGCATAATTATTAGAGCACACGATAATTCAACATAATTTTGCAGAGTGCTGTGCATTGCTTTATCTGTAAAACACGGGGACTCACAAAGCTGGTTCTTACCTGCCATGCATCTAAAAGGCTGAATGACAAATACTATGAACAGCGACATTTTAACAGAAACAGGCAGTGATTAAAATAATTTTTTTTCTTTTACCTCCCCAAATTCCTCATAGATTTGTTCAATATAAGTTGTCCCTTTCCTTCCCAGAGAGACCTCTCCATGGATTTCTGACTGATCGCTCTCACTTTCATTTGTCTTCCGGCTGTTCTCATGTGTTTCATTTTCCGACTCTTCTACGTTGTCTCTCTCAGACTTGTCCGAAAAAGCATCATTTTCCAAATGGTGGTGGTTCTCCAGGGCTGATTCATTCAAACTGCAACACACAGTTCATTACTTGCTTCAATTTGATTTACAAAGCCAGATTATTTAAGGCCTTTTAGGTAAGGTAAAAACACCCCCCAGGACTCAAAATAGGGTGTGCAGCTCAGGAGAGTGTAAGACATTGATTTCCTGAATAGCATGGTTTTTATCATGGAAACAGTTGAGATATTTTCCATCAAAACTCTCCCCTCCAAACTGCACTTTGCAAAATGTGCCACACAGCTCCACTTATCCACCCTTATGCAGAACTGCCGCTGGCTCCGGATGGGAGCCCACATACCAGAGGCATACAGAGCACACACAAACAACTATACGCTGCTTAACAGAGAACTGAAGTGTCGATCAGGAGAGATTTTTCCCTTTACAGAAGCAAATCAGTGGATTGTAGCATATGGGAAAAATATGACATTATGGGATACGTTTTCTTTTCAGTACTACTGCTGCTTTATTTCAACAGATGGTGGTCCTAAGTCAGCCCTACACTAGAAAAGGCAAATTTAAAAATCAATAGAAGCAAGTATTTTTCAGCCCCCCACCCCAAAGCTAACCTGGGGAATGTGCTTCCCCCAGATAATGCTGTGTGGAAGAACTGAGGTGAAAGCATGGACTGGACAATTACATGTGAGAAGAATACCCAGATTATAACAGCATCTGAGGGAAAGTGTGGAAGGTGTAGCAAGCTTCATGCTCGGTGATCCAGGCTTTAGAGAATGAGGAGAAAGCCAAAAATTCTCTCTCAAGTAGCTTATAGCATCTCCATTTGAAAAAGCAGATGCAGTTCATATGACAGATGGCAAGCATGATTAGATGGGCCAGAGGTCAGACGCTGAAAAGTATTCACTAAATGCCCATTTTTTTCAAGTGATACTTAGCATGGGCTTCATTTTTCCCTATTCACACATGTCTTCACACACACATCACCTCTTTCATGGCCTAGCTCAGCTCTCAGGTGCTGACCTTCTCAGCTTGACCTTCCTCTGAAAATTTCTTACCCAAGTCCTCACGCAAAATTGCTCTTGGATAGGGCATTAAGAAAAGATTTCCAGCTATACAAGGAGTTTCAGAGGATCTAAACAGGCCCTGGATCTTGAAGAGTTTTGTTACTTTCTGTAGTCTATCTCTCTCTCAAAGCAAGATTTCTCTCCTCAGTACATGGGAATGTTCTGTCCAGCTTGAAGTCTCTCCATGATGGGCCTTTTCTCAGGCCGTTCCGGGCATGTTCCAATTTTGATTATAGATTAATGCTCAAAGTTCCCATCCCTTATTCTCCCTCTCTTTTTTTCTGTTTTTTAAAAGGATAATTAGGCATTGCTAGTTAGAGCCAGATTAAAAAAAACAACAGAAGAGTCAGAACACAGAACTGGCATCAGCTTTCCAGAAGATCTCAACTTCCAACTATGCACTGAAATAAGCTCATGATTTTTAACACGCCAAGCAAGCCACACTGTGACAGTCACAGCTCAGTTTCTGGAGAAGCTCAGTTTCTAGAGCTCTTTTGAAAGTGTCTACAGCTTTCTGTGCCTTTAGAAAATCTTTCTTTTAACTCCATTTGTATATGTATGTATGCATATATGTCTATGTGTGTATATGTATAAACTACAAGGTTTTTTAATTTACAGTTTTACTGTAAAATAAAACTACGATCATAAACCAGAGAGTCAATGACCACTATACTCCAGCACTAATCATTTGCTATTAGATGTTATGTGTCTTCATCATTCTAGTGCCAGGATGTTACTTCTTTTTTTTAGCTAGCAACCAGCAAGTGTAATGACTGATAACCAAACACACTGGAAGCACAGAGTATAGCACATGCATGAGTTTAAGATAATAAAGGAAAAAAAAAGGTGAGGAGAGACCTGTCTAGAGAGATTATCCCATGATTCCTCAGCACAGATACTTCCTGGATGGTAGGCCCAGGAACTTACTAGTCATTAGATGCTCATCATTTAAATACCTAATTTATTTCTTAATTTTTCAATGATCTGCTAAATATCTTGAGTGTTTGTCTGTGCTTGCTATGCTCCCTTACCTAGTGAAAGTTTTCTCCATGGGGTAAAAATGCTTGAAAGAACAGTTCATTATAAGGTTTATGGTTCATGGCTGAGAAGTAGCACTTGTTTCTATTTCACATTTCTAAGAAGAGCAAGTGTTTTTCAGCATCACCTGCCTCACATTTGGAAAATGCTTGAAGTTTCAGTGGAGCAAATGACCGTTTTCTTAGTTTCCTTTGCTCCCCCCCATTATTTTTTAAGTATTTCAGATTTAGTCCAAGAGGGAATTAAATTCACATGAAATCCCACTCAACTGTGCACTGATTACCCACCAGCCACAAACAAGGCAAGGCTTAACACATCCAGAGCCAAGGAGCCGCTCTGGGGAACCAAAGGGAAAACAGATGCTCCTCATTCTGAGCAACAAATTCGAGATGTTGAAGTGGAGCCAGGCTCTTCTATTCCTTCAAATAGAATCATCACTGAATACGTACGATACGCCAAAACCAAAAGCCACACCATGAGCTTGAACTAAAATCAATGCAAAGACTTCCCAGGGGCTTCCAATGGGATTTGGACCAGGCTTTAAAAGTGGGGAAGGAATGACTATTGTTAAAAGTCAACACTGGATTTCCAGCATGAACATGAATAACTTTGCATTTTTCACAGCTAATTTACTGTTTCAGCATATTGGAGCTGTCTTATACCAGTGCTTTATTCTC